TATGTCGGAGTGTGGTTCAGTTCGACACTGGGGCTAATTTCTATCGATCATTCGCAGTTGATTCTTCTCTCCGACTTGAGTTATTTCTTCTTCTTCTTCTGTTTAGACTGGTAGATTTCTTTTTGTTTCAACCCAGTGGAAGATTTTTGCTTCGATTCAGTGGAAGATTTTGTCGATTCAGTGGAAGATTTGATTCAGTGGAAGATTTCTTGTGCTTCAATTGGGTGGAAGATTTCTTGCTTCAATTCGGTGGAAGCTCCAATTTTTGTCTTCAACTTGGGCTGGAAACTTGGGAGTTTCTTGTTTTCGAGTGATTCTTCTGTCGTCCGAGGGTGAACTGCAACTCACGCCCAACCAAACTCCAACTTCAACTCAACTTCAGCTCCAACTTTCAGCTCCAATCAGCTCCAACTTCAGCCCAACTCTTCTCAGGTTTTCAGGCAATCTTCTTCTTCATCTACTTGGGCTGAAGTTCTTCTGTCTTCGACTTGGGCTGGAAGTCCTTCTGTCTGAGGGTTCTTTGCCCGCAAAGGGGCGAGTGAATTGGGTCTTATGTCCGCGTTCAGGATCTTCCCTGCCCGCGGTCCTGCTGCAACTCAGCCCAACTCCGGCTGCATCTCCAACTCAAACTGATTTCTGTCGACTGGGGTCCTGTTATATTGACGCCGCAACAACCTGGGGTGGGTCTGTCGGCGTCAGGGTTTTCTCGATAATTTCAAAGTCGTATTAATTTTGACCTTCCATTATCGTTATTGTTTTCACCCCACTTTCTCACAGAGCTCTTGGTGGGGCGGCGCATATCTATTTTCTTAGTCTCTCTCATGTCAGGTGATCGCTCTCAACCAATCGCTCCCTGATCGAACCTTTCTTTCTCTTCTTTCCGCAGCCCACGTGACCGCCTCGTCCAACAGTTATTGATCGAGGTTTTTCCTTCTTCTTCCGCGGTCACGTGATTGTATTCGACCAATTGTTGACTGAACACCCTCTCCCCTCTGTTTGCGGGCGTGGTTACATCGTTCTTGTTTAAAAAAAACAAAATCCAATTTTGCACCTTTTTGCACGTACGCAAAATGACAATCTTTTAGCTTTCTTTCACCTGGACTTTGTCAAACAGCCCGCCGCTAATTAGTCTTGACTTTAGAAAAGGTTCTTTTCCGCCTTCTTGGCGCCCTCTGTGGTCCAAAAACAATTGCTCTTCTTTTTTACTTCTTTGTTTTACCTGATAGTCGAAAATCTTAATTATCTAGGTCGAAATATCTCTACTTTCTTAACGTGGGTGTCCAATTCTTAACAGGTCAATTCCGTATATCGTTTTCACCAGTCACTTCCCCCAACCCAAAGACACTTTCTCTCTGACTAAAGTAAAATTCATTTCTATTGTTCAAAAGAAAAAATAAAAATTCTCTTCACTCCAAATTGATAAGGGGTTTTCCATAAGCAAGAGTCGGTCAGAGGCCTCTGACCGACATCTGGTCGATATCATGTCTTTTCCCTTTGTTTTTTTAAAAAAAATAAAGTCGACCACACGCAGACCTATCTCTACCATCAACTGGGTCATGCGTCATACATTTCTCTTTCTTTCTTTTTTCTTCCCTTCCTTCCTTTTTTTTCTTTTCTTTTGCTTCTTCTTTCCTTAGGATCGTCTAGTACATTCTTAGTGAATTATTTTCAACTCAGTTATTTTCCGTTTTTAAAAAAAAAATTAACAACCTGTTTAATAAACTGAATAAGAAAAAATTAACTCATATTTCTATGAATATTTCCAATAAATGCAAGGTGCCATATATCAATTAATATCTCTCTTTCTCTATATATATAGGGAGATTAGTAGTTAAACGTTAATTTTAGTGGATTTGAGTAGACGCCCGTATAATTTATTAAACAGCATATTTAATTATTTTAATCTACAGGCCAGAATATCCATGCAATCTTATGAGAGTAAAATACGCGTACTTCGACAGGTTTCGAATCAAAGCACCTTCTATATGAAACAGTCATTAGAAATGACGTACTTTGGACCTCTCGGCTACAGTGTGGCTCGATAACCATGCAATGTTGAATTGTCCCTCAAAGCCCAAATCTTTCTCTAACTCACGAAATAGTCGTCTGCTCGAGTATATAAGTATCTAGCTTTAAGATTTCTCACCGGAATAACTTCCAGATTTCCAGATTTTAATCAATATGTATAACTTTGTGATTTCTCTGTAGAATAGCTTCCAGATTTGAATCAAAATGCATAGCTTTGAGATTTCTCTCAGTATAGCATCCAGATTTCCAGAGTTTAATCAAAATGTACAGCTTTGAGATTTATGTGCAGAATAGTTTCCAGATTTCCAGATTTCAATCAATATGTATAGCTTTGAGATTTCACTTCAGAATAACTTCCAAATTTCCAGAGTTTAATCAAAATTTATATCTTTGAGATTTCTCTGCAGCTTCCAGATTTCGAGAGTTTAATCAAGATGCATAGCTTTGAGATTTCACTTCAGAAGAGCTTCCAGATTTCCAGAGGTTTATCAAAATGTATAGCTTTGAGATTTCACTTCAGAATAGTTTTCAAATTTTAATATAAATTTATAGTTTTGAGATTTCTCTGCAGAACGGCTTCCAGATTTCCAGAGTTTAATAAAAATATATAGCTTTGAGATTTCACTTCAGAATAGCTTCCAGATTTCCAGAAGTTAATCAAAATGTATAGCTTTGAGACTTCTCTGCAGAATAGCTTCCAGCTTTTAATCAAAATGTGTTGGTTTGAGATTTCTCTACAGACTAGCTTATATATTTCCAGATTTTAATCAAAATGTATAGCTTTCAGATATCTCTACAAAATAGCTTCCAGATTTTAATCTAAACATAGTTTTGAGATTTTTCTGCGGAGTAGCTTCCAGATTTATTCGTAATATATAACTTTCAGATTTCTCTTCAGAATAGTTTCCAGATGTTAATCAATATATATAACTTTAAGATTTCACTTTTGAATATCTAAATTGCTTACATCATTACTCGTGCGAGTTAAGTTCTTTCTTTAGTAAAGTCTACGAACTGTTCACTCTTTAAGTTTAGTATTAAGAAATAGCAAAATGTCTTTACAAACAAAGAGTGCTGAATTTCTATGTAATAACAATCCTCCTATATGGTGATTAATGATGGGAAATTTCTTCATGACGTAGAGAAAACTTGAGGTAATAGTGATATAGTTAGAAAAGATGCTGAGAATACCATGAATGGAATGAAGGAAAAAAAAAGGAAAACTAAAAGGAGTTTTGTGGTTAGAATAAAGAAAAAAGGGTTGAAACTTCTGGAAAAATGAATAAGGATAGATGGCTTGAAATATATAACACGCAGATGACCTACAAAATAACGAGTAACTTACCTAACGGCTTGGTTTAAATTGATGACAGAACATGGCGTAGGAGGGAAATTATTGGTACGAACAAAAAGTTATAACCAGAAACGATATTACAAGGACAAACAAATATAATGGTAATTTTATGGGGACAAACAATTTTTAGGGACAAAGATAGTTATAGTGACAAAAGTGTTACAGGGGGCAAACAAATTTATAGGCAATAAGGCATCTAGCGGGACAAACAAATTTATAGAGACAAACAAAAATTATGCGGATAAAAATTTATAGGGACTAATGTAGGTATGAAAACAAACATATTTATAGGGACTTTCAGAGTTACAAATTTATAAGTTAAACAAATTTATGAGGATACACAAATTTATAGGGACAAATCAAGCTACGAGGATAAACAAATTTATATAGGGACAGACAAAGCTACGAGGATAACAAATACATAGGGAAAAACAAAGATACGAAGATAAACAAATGTATAGGGACAAACAAAGCTACGAAGATAAACAAATTTATATGGAAACACAAAACTACAAAGATAAACAAATTTATAGGGACAACAAAGTTACGAGGATAAAAAATTATACGGACAAACAAAGCTACGAGGATAAACAAATTTATAGGGACAAACAAAGCTACGAAGATTAACAGATTAATAGGGAAAAACAAAGTTACGAGGATAAACAAATTTATAGGGACACACCATATTACGTTGTTAAACAAATTTATATGGACAAACAAAGTTATGAGGAAAACAAATTTATAGGGACAATGTTACGAAGATAAACTAATTTATAGGTACAAGCAAAGCTACAAGGATAAACAAATTTATAGGAACAAAAACAAGATTTAGGAAGTTGTGGAGAGTAATGAGCATACACGTCCGGAACGGATACGACACATTGATAAAAAGTGTTGGCCACGTACATCAGAAACTTTTAAATGCATCGCTGCAAATGCGGGTTACAAGTCAGCAAAAGCCAAAACGTTAATAAGTATTTAGAAAATGTTTTATTGTACGATTGTCGGCCAATTAACAATTTTTACGAGTTTAATTAAACGCACAATTGCCAAAAGATGAGGATATTCGTCCATGGCAATAGTACTCTTTGTCAAACGAAGAACCGAGAGGTCCATCCGAGACGATCACAAATCTTTCACGACACTTTCCACCGCCACAAACCATTCCCCAAGCAGTGGACATTGGTTTTTATGTCCGCGGCTGCCGGCTACTGATATATTGACTAATGCCATTGTGTCCAATGTCTGGAATTACTCTCAGAGAAATGTAATGTAGCGATATTGAAGGGTCAGTGGTCAGTTCAGACCATTTCCTTCGAGAAACAAATAATGCGTTCACGCATTTGTAGCAGAGATTATGCGAAGTCCAATTGTATTTAAGTAAGCGACAATGTTAGGCTGGCTTGTGTTGTGTTGGACAAGGTTGGTCTGCGGTGGTGTTTGAAAGAGGTGAGGCTGCTGTAAGGGCAGCCAGGGAAAAACTAATTCCCGTCCGGGTTTTCAAATAAAGTGTTTGGGCAACTGTTGGTCAAATTTACAGTAGCATTGATTAAAATAATATCTTCCTTTCAGGGTAGATAGATAGATAGATAGATAGATAGATAGATAGATAGATAGATTATGAGGAGAATGAGATAGATAGATTATGAGGAGAATAAGATAGATAGATAGATGATAGATAGATAGATAGATAGATTATGAGGAGAATGAGATAGATATATAGACTAGACGGTGCTAGATAGATAGATAGATAGATTATGAGGAGAATGAGATAGATAGATAGATATACTAGACGGAGATAGATAGATAGATAGATAGATAGATAGATAGATAGATAGATACACTAGACGGAGATAGATAGATAGATAAAGATAGATAGATTATGAGGAGAATGAGATAGATAGATAGATAGATAGATAGATAGATAGATAGATAGATAGATAGATAGATAAACAGACTAGACGGAGATAGATAGATAGATAGATTATGAGGAGAATGAGATAAATTAGACGGGGATATATAGATAGACTAGACGGTGCTAGATAGATAGATAGATAGATAGATAGATAGATTATGAAGAGAATGAGATAGATTAGACGGGGATATATAGATAGACTAGACGGTACTAGATAGATAGATAGATAGATAGATAGATAGATAGATAGATAGATTTATTTAATCATTTCACCCCAAGTAGGGAAATAAAGCCACAGGGTTGCAAGGGGTTTCTGAATGTTAGAGAATATAAGAAAAACGACTATTAAGGAGAGAGGACAATAAAATAGCAATAATTAAGAAGAAATTAGATAATGATTGATACTGCATTTAAATTTTTGAAGATCAATGTTGATTGGGAAGCAAAACGCCAGCGTGAAGTGTTAGAAAAGAAACTGTTTGTACAGAACTTACTATTAAATCTAGGCATTTTAACTGTAAAATGATGAGACCTTGCCGCCAATCTAGTACTGCGATTAACTTCACAAAACCTAAGTGCCATAGTGAAGAGTTCATCAGAACAATTACCAGTAAAGTATTTATAGAAAAAGTGCATTGAAGCTACATTACTGCAGTGGGAATAGGTCCGAAGCCGATATGTCAGGTCAGGATAATCTATCTATCTGTCTATCTATCTATCTATCTTCGTCTAATATATCTAGCTATCTATCTAACACCGTCTAGTCTAGTCTGTCTATCTATCACCGTCTAGTTTATCTATCTATGTAACTATCTATCTATTTTCGTCTAATCTATCTATCTATCTATCTATGTTGTCATATCACAGATTCTTTCGATTTTATCAATAATCTCCAAATAAATAAATAAATATGAACAAACTGGAATAGATAGGTAGATAGATATAAGAAAGAAAGAAAATAAGAAAGATTAAAAGAAAGAAAGAAAGAAAGAAAGAAAGAAAGAAAGAAAGAAAAGGATACTGATGCATTAAGAGAGATATAAAAGATATGTCTAAAAATAAATGATGAAATATTCTTCCAACTGATTCCTTCAAACGATAATATAATAAATACCGTTGTGTATTCATTTATTTATATTGTTCGTGCCACCTCCTGAAGTGAGAAATGAGCATAATAAACTTATTGTAGTAAATTCATGTATGGCTTATTCTATTATCCATTTTAATAATCTATACAAACAAAATATTTATCTTTATTTAGACAAGACTAGTTCCTGAATAAAATCAACCGTTAGTTCATCCGCTCCCTTTCTGCTTTCTTAGACTGCAGTCTTATTTGTTCAAGCCTTTCATGAGAAGTACTCAGACACCTTTATCTACAAAGTGGACGTCTTGATTCTATTTACTCGTGATAGGCTTCCTCACCACCATCTTTGACGTCCTGTTTCGAAACTTTTCCTTTCGAGACGCGTTTCCATTTCGAGTCACTGCTGTAGACAAAGCATAATGCTTTAAATAAAGTAAAATATATTCAAAATTCTGTTTCATTGCAACTAGTTATTAAATCTGTTGAACAATTTTCATCATCATATTTGATTTGACTAAGCTTGATTTCATAGGTTAGAGTGAATTCTTTGTATTTGCTACGTTCACGTCTGGCACTAGGTTAAAATTAAGAGATATCGTATTTCATTAGATAGATAGATAGATAGATAGATAGATAGATAGATAGATAGATAGATAGATAGATTGTAAAAGTCTGAGATAGATAGATAGATAGATAGATAGATAGATAGATAGATAGATAGATAGATAGAAAGAAAGAAATGGACTGATATATATATATATATATATTATAGAGAGAGAGAGAGAAAGATGAACAAAATGAGATATATATAAATATATATATATATATATATATATATATATAAAGGGATAGATAGATTGTAAAAAGTCTGAGACAGATAGAAAGAAATGAACTATATATATATATATATATATATATATATATATATATATAGAGAGAGAAGAGAGAACTAGAGAAAGATGAACAAACTGAGATATATATATATATATATATATATATATATATATATATATATATATATATATATATATATATGAAGGGACTGTGATAGATAGATAGATAGATAGAAAAGAAAGAAAGAAAAACAAACAAACAAACGAATGGTCTTTTTGATATATATATATATATATATATATATATATATATATATATATATATATATATATATATATAGATAGATAGATAGATAGATAGTTTTGGAAGGCCATACTGTTTTTGATGTCAACTTCCTATGCATTTTGTATGCCCGAAATAACCCTAGCCGAAAGAGCGTATGTCCGGACGCGTGTAGCCCTCGTTCTCCACCACTTTCGATTTCCTTTCCACATTACAAATATTGATCCTCCATTTAAACGAGATTTATACGACTAGCACAAAAGCTCGAGCCAATACTCTGAAGGCTTCGGCCGAGCGATATGCCAATGATTGATGATAAAACTTCGGAACGTGACATACCGTGCCAGGACGCCATTATGACATCACTTCCTCTGCCTCCATTACGACGACACGACAGCACGAGAGACCCAGGCAAGGGTAGCTTTTCCTCGTTAAGTAATGAGGAGAGCGGCGAATAATCGCTGATTTACCAAGGGTAAGCCTTTCCTGTCAGGCATTTTCGTTCACGAATTGTCGCCCTCAATCCAAGACAAAATTATATATATATATATATATATATATATATATATATATATATATATATATATATATATATGCCCGAGTATAGGATTGGTGTATACAGAATAAATTCCAATCACCAACAAATACTATACTAAAAAGAGTGCTCAATGCAGAGTAGAGCAAATATAATTTATTCGAAAATTATAACATAAATATGTTATAAAATCACTACAAAAATAAACATTTTGTTGTAACACATCTGGTGTTTTATAAAATGGCTATTTTTATAGTGATTTTGTAACTTGTTTATGCTATAATTTTCGAATAAATTATATATAAAAATTGTCATCCACAGACAGACTGTTTCGTAGCTCATCAGTGTGTCAAGTCGTCCGGATGCCTCTAGCGAGGATCGAAACCCGACTAAATTGGCGTCATTTGGGGGATTCTACCACTAAGCCGTTGGCGCACGGCAGGGATGGGGGGGTGAATTTAAGCGTATTTATTTTTAGATAAATAAATTTAGATATTTCTTTCTCGTATGTTATCAATACTGTGGTCCTTATATATAACGGAGTTGTTAAGTAATATTATAAAGAATTAGTATATCTTAGCCAACACTAGTCAACAAAACAAGTCTTAACAAATAATTTTAAATCATCGCCACGAGAATACGGATCTTATAACGGTGATAAGGTATCCAGCACTTGAAGATTGCAAGATTGCATGAAACTCCGAGCCGTGCTATGGACGTTGGATATTATATATATATTATAATATATATATATATATATATATATATATATATATATACAATATGGCGACGGTTATGGATCTGCCTCGAAAAGCATTGCATCAATGATCTGTACATCAGACCTTGTGCCAGACTATACTAAGCTCGTAGGATTACCACCTTTGGGTTTGGCGCGTTTGTGAAGGAATCGATAGCTTCCGGTGCCGACCACTAAAGAGAGATCACGCATTTTCCTATCGCCGAACACTACAATGAAGTGAGAAAGGTCAGACTGATGAGTTAGTAATTTAATCAAACACTTATGTAGCAAAATCTAATAGTATTTTAATGAAAAAAAAAAGTCAAATTGGTGGCATATCTCAAAACCGACCTGTAGTCCGTTGTTAACCGTGGCAAAGAATGGTTTGTTAATTTTTAACGCCTCTAAAACAAATCTGCTCATTATTAATAATTTGAGAGACCCTTTCTGCCTTCGATCAGCATGGCTGTTGATAAACCCCAGGCGGGTGACTCCTTGAGCGTTCTTGGGTTAACATTCTCAACTGACATGAAGTGGAAAGACTATATTGAATCCATTTGTAGGTCAGCTTCTAATAAAGTTGGTTCTCTGTGTCGTCCTAGAGAATTTTTCTCCCCAGAATCTATTTTACATATTTATAAATCTACCATGCTTAAAATATTGCTGCCACATACGGTCCAGTGCTCCTGTTAGATATCGAGATATCATTGATAAAATCCTAAGAATAATCAGCAATATTATCGGTCCTGATCTGGTGGCTCGGATTCTGTCACTTTTCCACCGCCGTAAGATTGTCTCCTTGTGTCTTTTCTATAAATACGTTCATGGTAATTGATTTCGCTGATCGTGCAAAAACAGGTATTGCAACGGGATGTGGCCGTAAGCCACTGCATTATAGGAGGACTGATTCTATATAACAGTTCTGTACTCTTTTCTAACGATATTTTTTCTGTTTATTAATACTTTGCTTAACTTTTAGAGGGCATCTTTCATTATTCCAATGCGCTGTTCCTTAGCCTAATCAGTGGTTATTCATCCCACACCTCATTACTTAACAAGGAAACTCTTCTCTTGCTTCGGTCTCTCGTGCTGTTGGTTCATCGAAATGGAGACAGAGGAGGTGATGTCATACTGGAATCCTGGGATTGTCATTGATTCTCCACAAAATCATCGATACACACAGGCATATATATATATATATATATATATATATATATATATATATATATATATATAACAGAGGATATCTGTATGTCGGTCTTTCTTTCTTTTTTGCTTTCTTTCTTTTTTTTTTTCTTCTTTCTTTCTTTCTTTCTTTGTAAATTTCTTTCTTTCCTAGTTTCATTCATTTTTTTTTGTTTATAAAGGACAGGAAATCGTGGAGAACCATGACCGCCCATATCCTGACGGGACACATTACATAGAAGTAATAAAAATTAAAAATAAAATCGGAGCAATTTCATTTTTAATGCAATGAGATTTCCTTTTATTCTCAGCATTATTTCTATGGTTACCCGTGTTTGAGTAGACGTAATATCTCCGTTTACTTTTTTATTAAAATATTTAAATTTGCTCATATTTTCTTACACTCAATAACCCACCTTGCAACATAATGGCTTTTTTGCATTGGTTAGAGTGAAATGATTAAAAAATTAAAAAAACTTGGATGAAAAGGAAGATTTGCAAATTTTTCAGTGCCTCCCTATATATGTATTATAAATAAATAGAATTAATTTAAAAAAAATCTTTCTCCACTTATATTTCTTCCTCTCACCCTGTCTCTTTATCCGTTCAATCAAGTGTGTTGCATCTGTGATTTTCCTTGAGTACACCCTCTTAAACCCTCCACCAGAAAAAAGTTAATATGTTCTTCTTTCGTCAAAATCATGTTTAAGCTGTGGAAGTAAAAAGAATATAATTAACTCTACAACATTCACCATCAATTAAAGTTACACCACTACTAACCATGGGTATATCATACCCGATTTTGAAAATATCAAAAAAATATTAAATATAAATCTTTATTTGAAATATTTTACATGCAGGCACTTCAAACTTTGTACTTTGAGTTAACATTAATAGGAACTGAAAAACATTATTTAGGTAAGAAAATCAGGTACTGCAAATTGTAATTAAAAATAGGAAAATTGCGCTGGGTACTATATACCCATCGTTAGTTTTCTAGGGTTAATAAGATTTCTTATATGTACACAGTTTAGAGACACACCCTGTATAATTAATTCGTAGGACTTCGATGTGGTGTACTGGTTAGCGAACTTGTCTCCTTCGATTGATTAAGACTGTATACTGAATTCGATAATCACTAGGCACTCCACACCTTGAGCCTTGTACCACATCCAATTTACGCTTAGAAAATCATTTTATTGTCTACATAACCAAAATACAGGGTGTGTCCTTAAAGTCTGGACACATAGGCAAAAATGCTTACTTTCAAGAAATTAAATTTCCAACAATATTTTATAGAACTGGAATATTAACGAATATTAACGAATATTAACGAATGTTAACGAATATGAACGAATGTTAACGAACATTAACGAATATTAACGAATGTTAACGAATAGCATCTTCAATCATTTGTGATGCAAAGGCTGATGCGCTTTGTAAGATTAATGTGAACACGATACAATGACTCCTCATTGGCGTCCATTTCAGCGCATTCACTCTTTATGCATTCAATCAAGTGTGTTGCATCTGTGATTTTCATTGAGTACACCTTCTCCTTTAGCGTACCCCAGAAAAAAAGTTAATTCTTCCTTCTTTAGACAAAACCAATTTTAATCTGTACAGGTAAACAAAATATAGTTTATGATATTTCCTGGGTATCCAGGCATTAGTGACTGTTGACCATGTTCACCATAGTGTATGAATATAGAATACAGCGCAGTACGTAATCTGTTCAATGAAACAACGTTAAAGATTAACACTCACGAGTCAGACACTCTACCGAATCTGACTATATCGCCAATACCACCAGTAGCTTCAGTCTTCGATATCAAAGGCTGACAATGATATTTAGGGTTACATGTGGCACAAGGCCGAGATTAACGTGGGATCTCCGAGCCTGTAGGCTCGGCTAAAAATATTCCCTATTCGAACGCGTATAAACGGGTTCATGAGCAGTCAACCTCCCCGAACGAGACTCTGCCCTTCGGCGGAGCCCCGTCCGGGTTATCTAAGGCTGGCAGTGATATTTAGTCACCCCCCACTAGGGTTACATGTGGCACAAGGCCGAGATTAACGTGGGATCTCCGAGCCTGTAGGCTCGGCTAAAAATATTCCCTATTCGAACGCGTATAAACAGGTTCAGGGGCAGCCAACCTCCCCGAACGAGACTCTGCCCTTCGGCGGAGCCTCGTCCGGGTTATCAAAGACTGGCAGTGCATATTCGGGTAAAACATGGTCGCCTTTATACACGTCGCATTGATTACTTTGAGCCTTCTGATTGGTTAACACTTCTATTGGTGAACTATAAAATAGGTCAGCTCATACTGGCTGGCTCGCTAGTACACCAGGTTACCCAAAACTTCCAACAGTTACACCCCATGTATAACACCCCATTTCCTAGTAGACGAGACGTAGAAGCCGTTCAATAGCAATAAAGGCAGTAATACATAAGGGGTTACTGTGTGTTACAGAATACAAAAAAAGACAAATATTATTAAGGAATGAGAATATTAAAAATGATGAATCACGAAGACAGTTCATACCGACATTTTATTAAAGTAATGAAGAAATACAGAGAAAAAAGAAAATAAAAAAGAAATAAGAAAAGAGCAAATTATATGAAAAAGGAAAGAGATAAACAAGAAAATTCCTCGAAGAATGAAAAAAGAAAAATATATGAAGAGAAAGAAAGAACAAATAATGTAAAGATAAAAGGGTTCATTACAAAAAAGAAAGCAAAATGGAATTATGTGAATGAAAGAGAAAGAACGAAAGAATGAAAGAAAATAGAAAGGAAGTGGACACGTTCTAAAAAAGAAAGATAAATGAAAATATGTTTATAAGAAAGAAAGAACGAAAAATAAAAATGAAAGCAGGTACATTGTAAAAAGAAAAACGAAATAAAATTATGAGAATAAGAAAGAAATAATGAAAGAAAAAATAATGAAAGAAAGAAAGAATGAAAGAAAGAATGAAAGAAAGAAAAAATAATGAAAGAAAGAAAGAATGAAAGAAAGAATGAAAGAAAGAAAAAATAATGAAAGAAAGAAAGAATGAAAGAAAGAATGAAAGAAAGAAAAAATAAGGAAAGAAAGAAAGAATGAAAGAAAGAATGAAAGAATGTCGCCACGTTCGAAAAAAAGAAATGAAATGAATAAATTAAAATATGTGAATAAGAAAGAAAAAACGAACAAAGAAAACAAGCAGTTACGTTATAAAAAGGAAAGCTAAATATAAATAAATGAGAAAGAAAGAAAGAAAGTAACTGGACACGTTCTTAAAAAGAAATATAAATGAAAATATGTGAATAAGAAAGAAAGAACGAAAAAAGAATAAAGTCAAAAGGTACGTTATAAAAAGGAAAGCTAAATAGATATATGTGAATAAGAAAAAAAGAAAGAAAGAAAGAAAGTGAACCCGTTCTTTTTAGAACGGGTTCACTTTCTTTTTTTCTTAATGAAAATATGAGAATAAGAAAGAGAGAGAGAAAAAAAGAAAGACCGTGGGTATATTGTAAAAAGTGAAAACTAAATGAAAATATGGGAATAAGAAAGAAAAACAGAATTAAATAAAGAAAGAAAAAAAACAAAGTATGAAAGAAAAATGAAAGAAAAGAGAAAGAAAAAAATTGCGCACTTTCTAGCAAGTAAAAAAAATAAATGGAAATATGTGAATAATAAAGAAAAAAAGGAAAGAAAGAAAACAGAAAGAACGAAAGAAAGATATTGCGTACGTACTCAAGAGAGAAAACTAAATGAAAATATGTGACTAAGGAAGAAAGAAAGAAGGAAAGTATGAAAGAAAAAAGGAAGAAAGAAAACAAAGAAAGAAATTGGGTACGTTCTAAATAGAGAAAACCAAATGAAAATATGGGAATAAGAAAGAACGAAAGAAAGAAAGAAAGAATGAATTAATGAAAGAAAGAAAGTGTGAAAGAAAGAAAAAATGAAAGAAAGAAAGGAAGAAGTTGGGCGCGTTCTGAAAAACATGTTTTGACAATTGATCTTTTCTTTTGAAACAGTTCTTCTAACGTTTCGGTTGATTCGTTCTACAGCATTCCGATATTAGAAGAAAAACCATTATCACTGAAAGAGCTTTTCAGACAAGCGAACACATCCCATTGTCTTGCTATTGTTCTAACCAAAACATTTCGGTCATCCCATTCTCTCACATTCGATAATTTATATAACTATAACAACACCGGTAACACATTCCTTTCCATATTTTGTGCGTCAAATTCTTTCCAGTTTTTATTTATTTATTTATTTTTGTTATATTATTGTTGGATTTTATCGTATTAATATAATTATTATAAATTGTTTCATATATATAACAGAAATATATTAATAATTTTTCCCGCTGATTTCCGGCAACTGCATTCACCAATCTCATCTTTGACGTAATGAAGTGAGCTTGCACTAATAATGGTAATTAAAATGTATTTATTCCACTGAGATACTGACTTGATTCAAACACAATGGGAATATTTCTCTTGATAGATGTCATATAATTACCAGCCGATGACTAGAAAGAAAGAAACAAACATTACAAATATTAGAGAGTAAAAAAGAAATACGGAAAAAGGAAAAGGAAAAAGAAGGAAAGACAAGAGCAAAATTTCTGAAGAAAAAAAGAGAAAAGGGGAACGGACGAGCGGCAGTTCCTGGAAAAAGGAAAAAGAAAAAATTATATGTATATAAAGAAAGTAAGTGGGAACGATATAAAAAAAGAAGGAAAGCTAAATGAAAATATGTGAATAAGAAAGAAGGAAAGAAAGAAAGTAATGGAAAAAAAAATGAGATAGAAAATATATACGTTCTAAAAAGAAAACTTAATTAAAAATGACGGAAAGAAAGAAAGAAAGAAAGAAAGAAAGAAAGAAAGAAAGAAAGAATGGTGGTTACGTTCTAAAATTGAAATCTAAATGAAAATTATGAAAAACAAAAAAGAAAGAAAAAGAAAGAAAGAAAGAAAGAAAGAAAGAAAGAAAGAAAGAATGAATGGTGGGTACGTTCTAAAATTGAAATCTAAATGAAAATTATGAAAAAGAAAGAAAGAAAGAAAGAAAGAAAGAAAGAAAGAAAGAATGAATGAATGGTGGGTACGTTCTAAAATTGAAATCTAAATGAAAATTATGAAAAAGAAAAGAAAGAAAGAAAGAAAGAAAGAAAGAATGGTGGGTACGTTCTAAAATTGAAATCTAAATGAAAATTATGAAAAAAATTAAAGAAAAAAAGAAAGAAAGAAAGAAAAGAAAAGAAAGAAAGAAAGTTCTAAAATTGAAAAAATGAAAAAGAAAAAGAAAAGAAAGAAAGAAAAAGAAAAGAAAGAATGGTGTACGTTCTAAAATTGAAATCTAAATGAAAATTATGAGAAAGAAAGAAAGAAAGAAAGAAAGAAAGAAAGAAAGAAAGAAAGAAACAAAGAATGGTGGGAACGTTCTAAAATTGAAATCTAAATGAAAATTATGAATAAGAAACAAGAAAGAAAGAAAGAAAGAAAGAAAGAAAGAAAGAAAGAAAGAATGGTGGGTACGTTCTAAAAAAATTGAAATATGAATAAGAAAAAAGAAAGAAAAAAGAAAGAAAGAAAGAAAGAATGGTGGGTACGTTCTAAAATTGAAATTTAAATGAAAATTATGAATAAGAAAGAAAGAAAGAAAGAAAGAAAGAAAGACAAACAGAAACTAATGGAAGAAAAAAGTGAGATAGGAAATATTTTCTTAATCCACGCCTCTTTTTCTTTCTTTCTTTTTTTTCTTTTCTTTCTTTCTTTCTTTCTTTCTTTCTTTCTTTCAAGAAAGAAAAAAAGCCAGAGAAACAATTTACAAATAAGACGCGGAAATATAAGAGAAAGTTCCAGAAAGAAATAAAAAACGAAAACAGACAAAGAAAGAGAGAAAGAAATAAAAAGAACGTAAAAATTATTAGAAGGGGAAAGAAATAAAGAAGGAAGAAAAATGGAGGAAACTCTAAATTAGATGTGAAGAAGAAAACTTGATATAAAGAAAGTAGAACACAAACGAAAAATAAAGGAAAACAGGAGAAATGAGATTAAAAAAAAGAAAGAATTGGGAACGAAAAAAGGAAGAAAGAAAAAGAGAGAAAAAATAAAACGGGATAAAGAAAGAAAGAAAGAAAGAAAGAAAGAAAGAAAGAAAGAAGATATAACGAACGACGAAAGAAAATCAATAAAGAAAGAAGAAAGAAGAATAGAAAGAAAAAGAGAGAAAGAAGAAGCCATTAAGAAAGAAGAAGGAAAGAAAGAAAAAGTAAAGAAAGATGGGGAGAAAAAAATCGAAGAAAAAAGAAAGAAAAAGGTATAAAGAAAGAAATGAAGAAAGGAAGGAAGTAACGAAAAAGGTATAAAGAAAGAGTGGAAGAAAAATCGAAGAAAAAATAAAAGAAAAGAAAGAAAGAGGCATGGATTAAGTAAAACACTGAAAGAAAGAAAGAAGGAAAGAAAGAAAGAAAGAAAGAAAGAAAAAGGAAAGACCGAAAAAAGAATGAATGAAAGAAAAAAGGAATAAAAATGGAAGAAAGAAAGAAAAAGGTACCAAAAAAGAAGAGAGGAAGATAAAACGAAAGAAAGAAAGAAAGAAAGAAAGAAAGAAAACGTATAAGGAAAGGAAAGAAAGAAAAAGGAATAAAAAAGATAAACAGGAAAAGGTGATAAAGAAAGAAATAACGAAAGCACGGAAACATAAAAAAACAACTAAAGGAAAATACATCATGAGTAAAACGAAAATAAACACAGGAAGAATTAAAGAAAAATGGAATCATATAAAAAAAAGAAAAATCAAAATATTAAAATATAGAAAGTAAAAAAGAAAAAAAGAAAGTGAGAAAACGATGATAAAAAAGAAAGAGAAAAACACAAAAGAAAAGAAAAGAACGAAAGAAAAAACAAATAATAAATGAAAGAATAAAGTGCGAAAAGAAATCTAGAACATATTTTATACAGTTTATTCGTTCTTCCTTAAACTACATCGATAAATTTATAGCCAGCCATCATTTTCGCCCTGTTAATCTCACGAAGACGCCAATTTATCTATCCCTGCCGTCAACCATTTTAGAAACGCCAGCCATGAGCAGAAAGTTCGAATGATGGACAGAATGAAGATTCCTCGAAAACAGTATAAAAACGTTTAACTACAGGTGTTAAAGTTATGATAGTTTAGATTTGGTGGTTGTGTGTTCTGACGAAGCGAGAAGCCATACGAAATCATGAACATTTATCAACCTGATCGTCATCTGCATATTTACGACGATAAATCGTACATTATGGCAGGCGGAAATCTATGTGGGTCGGTAGGTTTTTGAAAACGGAAGTGACACTTCAGGTTTTATCAGAACGCTCGGCTGACCATGCGATGTTGGCCTGCCTCTTTCATACGCAGGATAATGATGAGTCCTTGTCAAGGCAAGTAATGGAGGTATCACTTTTATTTATTTATTTTTATTTTATTTTATTTATCTATTTTATTTTATTTTATTTATTTATTTATTTATTTATTTATTTATTTATTTATTGTTGCTGTCATGGTATTTTTCCGATCGGCCACATGAAGACGATATGGCATACATGGAACGTGGGACAAAAAATAGCTCAACTCACCACGACTAAGCGCAATAGATTAACCCTTACACTTCGTTTGGGAGAATTATGTCCCCTTAAAGCTAAGCTTAAATGCACTTAAAAACGCGTTTTTATACTTCTTTCTTTCTTTCTTTCTTTCTTTATTTATTTATTTATTTATTCTTTCTTCCTTCCTTTCTTTCTTTCTTTCTTTCTTTATTTATTTATTTATTTATTTATTTATTTCTATGAATCCGGTCTTAATTGTTGTCTTTCTTTCTTTCTTTCTTTCTTTCTTTCTTTCTTTCTTTCTTTCTTTCTTTCTTTCTATGAATCCGGTCTTAATTGTTGTCTTTCTTTCTTGTTATTTTTCTGCCTTTGTCGATTTCTTTCTTTATTTCTTCTTTCTTTTCTTTCTTTCTTTTTTTCTTTCTATGAATACTTTCTTAATCCTTATCTTTCTTTCTTGTTATTTTTCTGCCCTTGTCGAATTCTTTCTGTCTTTCTTTCTTTATTTATTTATTTATTTATTTATTTACTCTTTCTTCCTTCCTTCCTTCCTTCCTTCCTTTCTTTCTTTCTTTCTTCCTTCCTTCCTTCCTTCCTTTCTTTCTTTCTTCCTTCCTTCCTTCCTTTCTTTCTTTCTTTCTTTCTTTCTTTCTTTCTATGAATCCGGTCTTAATTGTTGTCTTTCTTTCTTGTTATTTTTTGCCTTTGCTAATTTCTTTCTTTATTTCTTCTTTCCTTTCTTTCTTTCTTTTTTCTTTCTGTCTTTCTTTATATTTTTTTCTTTCTATGAACCCTTTCTTAATCGTTATCTTTCTTTCTTCTTATTTTTCTGCCCTTATCAATATTTCTTTCTTTCTTTCTTTCTTTCTTTCTTTCTTTCTTTCTTTCTTTCTTTCTTTCTTTCTTTCTATGTGCCCGTTCGTAATTGTTATCTTTTTCTTTGTTATATTTCTGCCTTTATCAACTTCTTTCTTTCTTTCTTTCTTTCTTTCTTTCTTTCTTTCTATGAGCCCGTTCTTAATTGTTATCTTTCTTCTTGTTATTTTTCTGCCTTTATCAACTTCATACTTTCTTTCTTTCTTTATTCTTTCTTTCTTTCTTTCTTTCTTTTTTCTTTCTTTCTTTATTCCTTTCTTTCTATGAATCCGGTCTTAATTGTTGTCTTTCTTTCTTGTTATTTTTCTGCCTTTACTAATTTTTTTATTTCTTCTTTCTTTCTTTCTTTTTTTTTCTTTCTATTACTTTCTTTTTATCTTTCTTTCTTTTATTTTTCTGCCCTTGTCAATTCTTTCTGTCTTTCTTTCTTTATTTATTCTTTATTTATTTTTCTTTTCTTCCTTCCTTTCTTTCTTTCTTTCTTTCTTTTTTCTTTCTTTTTTCTTTCTTTCTTTCTATGAATCCGGTCTTAATTGTTGTCTTTCTTTCTTGTTATTTTTGCCTTTGCTAATTTCTTTTTTTATTTCTTCTTTCCTTTCTTTCTTTCTTTTTTCTTTCTTCTTTCTTTTATTTTTCTTAATCGTTATCTTTCTTTCTTCTTTTTTTTCTGCCCTTTCAATATTTCTTTCTTTCTTTCTTTCTTTCTTTCTTTCTATGAGCCCGTTCTTAATTGTTATCTTTCTTCCTTGTTATTTTTCTGCCTTTATCAACTTCTTACTTTCTTTCTTTCTTTATTCTTTCTTTCTTTCTTTCTTGCTTTTTTCTTTCTTTCTTTATTTCTTTCTTTCTATGAATCCGGTCTTAATTGTTGTCTTTCTTTCTTGTTATTTTTCTGCCTTTACTAATTTCTTTCTTTATTTCTTCTTTCCTTTCTTTCTTTCTTTTTTTCTTTCTATGAATACTTTCTTAATCCTTATCTTTCTTTCTTGTTATTTTTCTGCCCTTGCCGAATTCTTTCTTTCTTTCTTTCTTTCTTTCTTTCTTTCTTTCTACTTTTACTTTACTCTTCTGCTCTTTCTTTCTCCCAACTCTACCTTTCTCAACATATCAACATTCTTTCTTCCTTCCTTTCTTTCTTTCTTTCTTTCTTTCTTTCTTTCTTTCTTTCTATGAATCTGGTCTTAATCGTTGTCTTTCTTGTTTTTTTCTCCCCTTGTCAAATTCTTCATTTATCTATTTATTTATTTATATGTTTATTCTTTCTTTCTTTTTTTTTTTTGTCATTAACTGGGCTGGTAACAAATTCATAGTGCTCTGCTCGCTAATCCACCTTTTCTTGATTCGTTGTAGCATGCCGGGAACGAGATATTTTCTGTGAGTAAATGTCCGCTGAATCCTAAATTCGATTCCCTATTGATCTCGAAATTTTTTCTTTATGTCCAGCAGAATCTAATATTAATTCTACTTCACATATATCTTGACATATTTTACTTACCCTTCACTTCGACTGAGGTAGTTCTTAAATAATATTAAGCGCATAGGGGGGGATATTCCCCCAGGCATTACCCCTCAGGGTGTCATTAATTCCTGCCTGAAACGTTTACAAAGCGGGATATGCCGAGGTGTCTTTTCCGCGGTACTGCCGTTAAATCCACTTTAAACTGACCTTGTGTCATATTCGATAGCGATTTGGGGGCACTGAAATATCCATATAAAGGCATATCGTATTAAATCCTTAATATTATTAGGTTTTTATATATGTGTATTGAAATATATATTTTTGATTTTTAAACAATACTAGGTGGTGTCATTTTATGCCTTAATAACAATAGAATTTATCAGTTTATTTATTTTAAATTGTTATCGTGTAATAAACTGATCTCCTGCTTTTCCTAAATAATCCTTTTTGATGTTAAGACATATTTTAACAACTCACATGTGAAAATCTTGTTTTTTGACAAGAGGGATGAATTGTATTGTTATTAAACCATAAAATTGATGCAATTACCTATCCAGCGAAAATGAAGAAAATTTTTTTTTTCAAAATAAAGAAATATCTTTTTAATGTCTTTTGGGTTTAAATCTGTGAGTTTTTAAATGTGTGTTTTCGTCCCAATGAGTCGATATTTTCATGTTTCAGTTTCGTAAACATCTTTTGTATGATTTGCCATTTTCCTAAAAATAGATAGACACTGCTTCAGAATTCTTAGCTGGTGATAATCAGATGAGTCAGAGGTTCTTCAATTAAAATATTGGCGCAGCAGAATCTTCTTCTCTCGACACACGTTCCTTTATTCTTTTTTTTACTTTTTTGGTGTTTCTTTATCTATTCTGTTCTTTATCTATTAACACATTTTACCTTCATTTGTATTTCTCTTCTTCTTTTCCTCTTAAACGTTCTCTTTCCTCCTTATTTATTTATTTTTTTTTTCATTTTCCAACCTTCCTCATCATCGACACTAAATCTTTTTGAAATTTCCTAATTTTCATCTGTCGGATAAAACAGACTTGAAAAGTATCCTTTTTCTCTCTTCACAAACTGGCATATTGTGTCAATGACAAATTTTGCGCATGCGCAGTAATATCATATAAGGCAGCGCGTTTGATTGGCAATTTTTCTTTTATTTTAATGATGGAAAACTTGCAAAAGACTTTTTTTTCATCATTTTCTTTTTTTCAAGAGACATTTTAATTAGTCTCGCTATATTTCTGACCAACTAATGAACGTCTTCCGCTTTTTCAACCATTTTTTTTTTTTTTTGTAGGTTTTGTACGAGGTGTGCTGGGTACTATTGATTAGAATGCTTGAGCTGGTGAAAAGTGATAAGTCACCTCAAGAAATTGCAAGGGATTGGTTGGTCGGGGAAATTCTAAAAATTAGCCCACTCTAAATAGAAAAATAAAATAAAATTTTTCAGTCGACCCACTGTCAAATAATACGAATGAGGCGAGGCAAATCAGGCGGGTGAAATGGGCACTGAAGCAAAACGGGAAACGTTAAAATGCAGTGACGTTGATTGGCTAAAATCTGTGAGCAGCTAGTCGCCATTTTTGTTTCCAATTCATTGACTTAAAACCTTGATATATATGTATTTTTTCATTTTCATAACCAAATAAAACAATTTCAAATATAAATTTCCTGTTTAGTTCCCCAAATGTAATTTTGATTCTGTTCCAAACGTGATAAAGTTATACTAAAGCAAATATAACAGATGCGCCTGCGAACAATATATAATTTTACGTTGACAAATTTAACACATTGACTGCCAATTACGAGAGAAGATTTAGCTAGAAGTTTTTATTATAACGCCGATTACGAGTTTTTTGTGATCTTGCCATGAAGATTACAAACACAAGGTTTTCGTTCATTTTAACGCAAATAGCTGGTAACCTGGTGCATAAGGAAGGAATGAAAAATTGTACTGGCTACTAAAAACAAGCACTTTATGCGGAACATTATTGAAAATATATAACAAGTCAATGAATCATTTGAGAAGTGCTTTATTAACTAAGTTTGCCATTATAAAATTGGCTTTGGAAGTCAAATTTCGTAGTTGATTCCTTACGGATTTGAATCAGACCACATCAAAGAAAAAGGCGAGAAATACTTTTTAAAAAAATATAAAGAATTGAAACATTCTTATTTATTTCTAGAGGCGAGGAAGAAAGTGGAAATGCCACGTAACTTGGAGGGTAAGACTGGTGAATATCACGTAACTTGATGACGAAGAGTGTAAGTATCACGTAGCTTGGAGAGAAAGATCTATGAATGAGAAAGAGAATCTCTCTGAAGCCGCCGTCGTGAAGTCATGTTCGATGTATCCGCCTAATCTCCTTACTGGTTTTGCCGGTCTAGAGACTTTACTTAAATACCCTTCAAAGGAATCACGAAGGATGTTTTATTGTCGGCGGGAACGCGCCCCAGATATTAAAAAAATGTTAATATTAATTTTCAAAGGATTAATTTAATAAGCGGAGGAATGCGTTAATCCTCGGACTCAGGATCCTTTTTTTTCTTTTATCTTTTTTTTTTTTTTTGTTATTTGATGCTTTACTGTCTTGGTATTTATTTCCATCTTCGCTCCAGTGACCTGTGATTATCAACGTGTTATGAAACAACTATTTTCGAATAATGTTTGTATAAACATACAACCACGAAAATCGCTTGAAATACAAGCACAAGGAGCAGTACCAACTGTCGATGTTCCGTCACCACCAACCTCAGTGGTGCGATTTTCATTTGAGAGTTTGAAGATGTTAGTCCAATATCGCTACGAAGAATATCCAGGAATGAGTCCTAGTCTGCATGCTAATAATGAAAAAAGGTCTTATAGATAGGGGGTTCCTGTTTAATGGCTGCTTTCAAGGAGATAGCAACAAGTACCACAGAGCAGTCCCAGATGCCAAGAGGGCCGTGTTGCAAAGCTCGGTAAGAGTGAGGAGAGGAGAGGAGATAAGGCATTAATCCAGTAGAGTAGCATGTTGGTCGGTTTGGTTATTGTTATACCAGTTCATTACCTATTCTATTGTAATAGACTCCCGCACACATAATAAGTAGTAGTAGTAGTAGCGGTCGCCAGTTGAGGTCAGTGGTGTTGAACGAGTCAGTCGATGTCGGATATGGAAGTATCAATCATCACAACTAGATTGCTGCGTCATTAACTCTTATTTCAAGTTCCTAACGTTTTGTACGTCGGACCCTTTTATGACCGACTTAGCGAAATACAAGCCTCCACCGTGAAAACTACTCTACAACAGTTGTGGAAACGAGTAGGGAAGTCTACGATTTGAGGGAGGGACTGGGTAATGGAAAAATTAATATCTGTATATTGGAAGCAGCAGTGCTTTTGGAAAGTTTCATCCACGTGTTATTGTAAGCAGTAAAGTCACTGAAGACAAAGATGTTCGAAGATGGATGAAGAGAAAGCGCCTTTTTGTATACTGTCAGCAATCATCGCGAAAGACAAAGTTTTTAGAAGCTATGCCTTGTCACATTCTCTCAGCAAACAGTGACTTATTTGCTTCGATGATTCGCTTATATTTGTTACGAGCAGCGTTGAAAGCATCCATACCGACTTTGACCCAAGAAGAAACCTTAGTGGCGCAATGTTCAATTGGGAGGTTGAAGATGTTAGTCCAAGTGACGTCAAGAAGAAAATCCCTGAATGATTCCCAATCAGCGTGTTTCTAACGGAAAGAGGTCTTATGGATAGGGAGTTCCTGTTTAACGGATGCTTGGAAGGAGATATTATTATCTGTAACAGAGTAGTCTGAGTTACCCAAAGAGCAGTATTCTGAAGATCGGCATGAGCGAGATGAGTTATGAAATTGATTCAGTAGAAAAGCCTACTGCTCAGTTTGGCTAGGGAAAAGATTAGGGAAGTCCACAATTTGAATAAGGGATTGGGCAATGGAAAAGTTTAATGATTTTGAACCAGGAAGAAACTTCAGTAGCGCAATTTTCAATTGGGATGTGGAAGATTTCAGTCCAAGGGCTGTCAAGAAGAAAATCACAGAACGA